AAAAAAAAAAAAAAAAGCAAATTTAAATACAGTATTTGAAATTTATTTAATAAATATAATTTAAAAAATAAATTATTCTAAATTTTCAAATAATTACAAAATATAAAAACAATTCCTCATTTTTTTATACAGATTTAAAATAATGAATAATAGCATTTTGAAAATTTTCAATTTTTTCAAAACAGAAGTTATCACTACAAGCTTATATTATCAAAGACAGTTATATAATAATACAAAAAATTATTAGTCTGTATAATATAAATACTTCAGAATTCTAATGGCATACACTGGCATGTTACTTAAGACAATCTGTCGAGTATCAACACCATTTAATAAAAGAAGTCACACAATAAAAAAATGTGATGATGATAATAATAAAACTGGTAATGGCAGGTACTATATTTCTATAATTTCTATTTTTGAAAACACTTTTAAAAATTTATGCTAACATTACAATTTGTTGTTATATCTTTTGATTGATATCCAAATGTTTACACATTGATTAATATTTTATTATTCATCCTATATTTTATTGTAAAAATGTCTCTTTACATTCATAATGACATTCATGATTATATAAAAAATTACTTAATAAACAAAACATTATATTAAAATAATATAAATATTCTTTTGTTAGTTAGAATAGAAGTAATTATAAAGATTTTTATTTGTGTTCTAACTTTTAAAATTAGAACACATTCCATTACTAAAAATATTAACTCAAACTAGAATTTAAGAAACTAAATTATGTTCTCATATTACTAATGTTTATTCATTAAACTTTAAATGTGTTTACCTGAAGATAAAAGCAAAACAACATGAAAATGTTATTTTGTATTTTAAGTTTATTCACTAGTAAAATATCATTTTCCTTTGGATTGTATCATTACTACAAAACATTTTATGTAATTATGAAATTGTCAGAAAGTTACTTTCAGTATTAATTATTTACAAAAACAATTTTGTTTCTTAAATTTGGGTTAACATTTTTAGTGATAGAATGTGTTCTAATTGTAAAAGTAGTTACTGAATCAATTCAGATATGCTACTAAAAAAGGGATCTGATAGCATGGAGCTAAAGTCATAACTATGGGTTTCGTGATAATATGGGCTCATAGTATTAAATCCAAAAATATTTTGAATGATAGTAGTATATTTTAAATTTATTCACATGCCATTTCTCAGTATTTAATATCTCATGCACTAATAAATACCTATTCCAACTTTTTATTTTCATTGTTTATTTTTTCTCATTTTTTGTTCAAAATTTTTAACTACTTATTTAATTTTAAAAGTTAAAAAAATATTCTTAATGCAAATTCATTTATGTTCCTTATGCTTTTAAAATGAACTTTCAATCTGATGTCTAAATATCTGGGTCTTGAAAAACATTTAATATCACTAAATCAATGATGTCTTCAATTTATTTAGCATTGTTTTTATCTTGTTTTATAAAATTAAATTAAGAAATAATCTTACTTTTACAAATGTTAAACATAGGATTTTCTTCTTAAAATCAAATGAGTAAATAATTCCAGCAATCTAATTAAGAATAAAACAAAAACTATTAGGTTTATTGTAACTTTATTTAAAAGTTTTTAAAATAAAATTCTATATTTAAATACATATATATATAGATTTAAATATAACTTATATTTACTTTCAAATTATCTTATTTACTGTATATAACAATTTATTATGCTCATTATTTTTGTTTACATTAAAACATGATTTTTTGCAGATTATTTGGAGTATATTATATTACAAGTTTCTTGCATTTAAAAAAGATTTTCAGAATCAATATGTTACATAGTTCTGAATGATTAAAGTATTACCTTTACTACATCAGTAAATATGTAATACAAGTACCATTATGTCTAAGTAATGATTACAGAAACAATTTTTAAGAATTTAATATCTATACTAATATTATAAAGAGGTAATGCTTGTAAGTATGTATGTAAGTAAGTTTGTTTGCAGCAGGTAATCTCCGAAACTACTCATCCGATTTCAAAAATTCTTTCACCAATATTTAGAATGCAACCTCAGGGTGGACATAGGCTGTATATTATTCTGTTAAACATTCATATAAATTAAAATATATAATCTCGGTTAAGGCTTTTACCTCCAACAGATGGCGCTACGAGTACAACACTCTAAGTTTGCTTTTCTGTGAGGCATTATGCTTTTCTGTAAAAATGAACTAAAGCAGATCATCTTCTATCTATCTATATAAATAAAAATGTAATGTTCGTTTGTTCCTACCAATTCCTTTGAAATTTTGACATAACGCTGCATTCAAATACGCATGTGTTTTTATATACCGGTAATACATGTGTCAAAATTCCTCCCACTGAAAGGAGATGGTTAGGATTAAGGCTTACCGTAAAGAACTCTGCTTCTATTTATACTATTTTAGATGCGGTTCTTTGCATTTTTGATTGCGTTTTAATAGGGTACATGAAGAGAATGTACACTAAGAAGAAATTTTTCGAAAAATTCTCCCCACAGGAGAAGTGTTATACATTTATAATAGATACATTTGAAGCCACAACAATGCGTGGCGAGGTCTGCTAGTATTTCATAAAATACAAATAAGAGAGTAAAATAAAAAGCAGCAGAATATATACAGAATACATATTCTGCTGCTATTTATTTTACTGCATTATTAAACTTTATCAGTTAATCATTAATAAAAAAGATAATAAAAATTGACTTTTAGTAAATTTGTTGGCTCTAACTATGATTCAATTTTGTATCCCTATTAGAAATCAAATTTAATTTGGTATTTAAAATATTCAAAATTTTATACAATGTGCTTCAAGATAATATTTAATTTATCTAAAATTGATCTAAGTGATCAGAGTTATAACTAAATTTTAAGATCTTAATGGAATCAGGAACTAATTTTACGTCTATTATCTATCCAATGAATGCCCAATAATTTTATCATTCATTGAGATAAAATTACATTTCTACCTGGTTGTCTGTTTTTCCTAATACCAGTACCATTTAATACCGTCTAATACTGGTTTATAGTTATTTAACATTCACCTCAGATGAAAAGTCAAGAAAGCGAGAAAGATAACTATGAATTTTTATCAAAGTTTTATCAAAATTTATATATTTTTAATATAATTTTAAGTAGTTCCCAATACTCAAGTTTCGTAAATACAAAAAGTTAAGAATAATTTTTCTTAATCTTTTGTAATAGATTTAAAATTACATTTGTTTTTGTGAGATAACAAATTCAGAACAGAAACATACATATACCCAAACTGCTTTATAATAAATACTGTACATAATTTTTATTAATTAAATCCTTACCTTAGTGCTATAAACATCAAACCTTGATCCAATTACGACAACAAAATATTTACCCATTGGTGACCACTTTACAATATCTGCAACTAAAATTAAAGCAAGTAATTTTTATGTCAGATTATTTATATATTTTAAATAATGAATATTTATGCTTTATGCTATGTTAGATATATACTTTTATTACTAATTTATCAAAATTTTTTTCAAATCAATATAATGTCACTCATATTTTTAACAACAACTTTATTATTGCCATTATTAATATTATAAAATATTTTCAAGCAATTTAGTATTAATAAAATTATTTAAAATATGTAATTCATTTTTTAATACTAGTTTTATGAAAATAAAAGTATTAACTATTACAGCATGATTTAGCACTTGTATATCAAATTACATTTAAATAATTTACATAAAATTACAAAAAACAATGACTTTTGTAATTTATAAATTCTTTTTCTTAATCACATGCTTTACACACTTCTAGCTCCTATTATATTTTTTAAGAGCATGAAGCATTTATGCATTGTGTACATAGCTATCTTTTATTCTAATGACAAATTCAAATTGCTGTAGCAATGTTAAAATAATTATTTTATTGTTTAAAATAAGTAGATAATTGTAAATGATAACTGTTATTTACTATTTTTATTTTTTCCAATTTCATAAATTTTGAATTACAGTATTAAGATTAAATATAAGTTTACCAGTTTTAAATACAAATCAGTAAAAAAAACTAAACTGTTTTAACAAATTTTTCTTCTTGAAATTTATGAATTCTTTAAGATTCTAGACTGATGTTTTAAGTTGAAAATATAACAACAAAAGATAAATATAATTTTATGCAGTAGAGAATACATTTTTATATATTTATTATTGATATCTATTTTTGTGTTTTGAAATTTTCAGATAATAAAACACTAATGTTTAAAGCCAAATGAAAAAAAAAGTGATAATATTAATTAAATTTTAAAAATACCTCAACTCAATCACTAATAATAAAACAATCTAAGTATTAACTAAACACCAACCAAATGCCGAAATTCTATCAGGCTAGTTTATTACTAAATGAATTACATAACCAATTTGGCTCTAGAGGTAAGCGTTAGGCGCCATCTCTTATTAACATTAATAATTATAAATAAAATTAATTAATTTAAATAATTTAGAACTGCTGGGAGAAAAAATCGGCCCGGAGCAGGACTCAAACCCACAACTCCTGCTTACCGTGCAGATGTGTTGCCAGTTACGCTATCCGGACCTCCTAAGTCTCATAAGGGAACTCTTCCCCTGCTCCGCCTAATGACACTACAGGGTTAAAGAGACTATGCCTTGTTCATCGACTTGGGTCTGTACCTGACATGGTAGATAGGACGACATAGCTGGGCCCTGGGCCCCTTTCGGGCTCCCGTCCGTACCCCGGCCCAGCTCACTAACTTGGAATAACTTTTGTATTGTGCAGCCTGTTCTGCACTTTTTGGTCCACAAACTAAACCTTTTTCCAGCTCACATACATGCAATAAAACTTGCTAACATAGAGTAACGGACAGCGGGGTCCCCTTCCCTACAAGAAGAGGGGGCCAACCTAGCGCGTCCACTAGGCAGATAGATCATAAGTTTATGATCATTTCCATCAAATCCTTTAGTTTCTTTAAGTTTCCTTTACTAGCTGCTAGCGTTCGAAGTACTTGTTCGGGCGGCCTAGACCGGTCGACTTGGTTGGCCCCTCAGCGGAAATCCTCATAAGAGGACAGTCCAAGTACATAGTAATGTTTTATAGACAAAAATTGAAGATTCAAATCTGAAAGATCTTTCAGATTTGAATCTTCAATTTTTGTCTATAAAACAAACCTTTTAAGTTTTAAACCAATTTTTCAACCAATTAGGTATGATTTAAAAGCAATTTGTAAAAATTTCTAAGAAAGCAATCAAAAATTTATTTATGCCAATTGTATTTACAAATATCTGGGAATCAAATTAATAAAATAGGAATAATGACAATGAAAGTTCTGATGAAGATGAAAGTGATGGAATATTATATCAATTACTTTCCAAATTTTTTTAATCAAATTAAACCAATAATAAAAACTCAACTTATATTTGAATCCTAATTTTTGAAAAAAATTAAGGATTACAAAATTGAGAGTCAACTTATATTTGAGCCAATGCAGTATTTAATTAAACATTTAATCATCTAAATTACTAAATAAAATTATTTTAAAATGTGATAATTTAAAAATAATACAAAATGTTTTCATAATAAATTCCCAGTTTTATTTATTTACAAAAGAAAATTATTTATAAAAATGAACACATTTTTTTATTTTTCTAAAATATGTGTTTAAAAAATATACATTCATAATATTCATTTATATTTTCTAAAATTGACTAAAAAAATTTACCAGCTTTAATATTCGTTATGTAAGCAGAACGACCCTTGATGAGGTTCCATGTTCGTAATGTCTTATCCTTTGATACAGAAAGAATGAGTTTTCCTGAAGGATGAACTGAAACATGGAACACTTTATCTCTGAAAAATATATTCAAATTCAATGCAATTGTATTTAGATGGATAATAAAAAAATGTTTTCATTATTATTTTAATTCTAATTTAAAATTGAAATATTTCGTCACTTGCATGTTAATTGTACTTATCTTCTCGATTGTTTTTACAATTATTTTATTAGCTGTAGTTTAATTAATTTTAGCGAGTGTATTTTGAAAACTGACTTTGTTACGTAACATTTTAAACAATAAAAATGAACTACTTTATTCTCAGCAGGTATGCATTGTTTCCTTTATCCTAACAAGATATCTGTACTCGATATTGGGTGTATGCAGATAAGGAAAAATTNATAAATAATTATAATTAACAATAAAGAAAATTTAAATTATTCTACAATAATTTCTAACAAAATTTAATGGGATATTTGTTGCAATAAATCTTCAGCAATTTTTTCAAAATTTGGTTCTCATGTTGTTAAATAGAGATTATAATTGTGTACTGACCTTGAAAGTAATGGCTGTGAATTTATAACATGCATAACAATACACAAATCTTTCAATTTTTGCAACAAATGTAACATCTAAATTTGCTAAATATCAAGTAATGCACACATGCAGTAATACACATTGCATGGTGGGGGTACAATCCAGGCCTCGTTATTCATAATATCAATAGTCCAGTAAAAACATGAAAAGCTCCAATCTTATCAATCAATAATTATAGAATAAAAAAAATTTTTTTCTATTCTAAAATTAATGCTTCGTTAAACTGTAATTTTACTAGAATACAGGTTCACTCGGCACTAACGGCACAAATAGACAAGCAAATCAAGTGGATAAACAAGTTGTTTAGATTGTTAAAAGGGAAATCGGTGTTCACACTGGGATATTTTAAAGCAAGTTTTTGTCATTTCTTGTTTCTTGTGTTAATAATTTACAGCAAATTGATTAACATACACCATTTTATAATGAAAGTTAGATGTACAGTTTTGACAGCTAGCATTTTAAGGCTTATTTGTAAGAAATTTTGTTAGATTGTTTATTTTTTGTGTCCCATCACATATGGAAAATTGAAAGCAGCATTTTCGGCATATTTTGCTTTTTTATTACCAAAAAATCAAAATGCTGTTCAAGCGAGAAAAAAATTGTGGTACATGTATGGAGATGATGTGTTGAGAGAAAGACAGTGCAAAACCTGGTTACAAAATTTTGTTCTGGCAATTTCAATATTGAAGATGCACCACATTCTGGATGGCCAGTTGAAGCCAATGAAAACAAAATAAAGGTACTGATTGAAGCAAACTGCCAAATAACAACACGTGAAATCACTAAGAGATTAAATTTGTCAAATTGAACTGTTTATGATTACTTGAAACAAATTGGTTTTATTTCAAAGCTTAATATATGGGTTCCACATGTTCTTAAAAAGAGATGCTCTCTTTGGTGGGATTTTAAGGAAATTTTTTTGGAGCTTTTACCAGACAATTTAACAATTGATTCGAAAGTATACTGCCATCAAGTAAACAAATTGAGTAATATCATCAAACAGAAAAGGTCGCCCGAATTGATCAACAAAACAGGTGTAGTGTTTTACCATGATAATGTCAAATTTCACACAAGTTTGGTAACTCCTCAGAAACTGTTATAACTTAGATGGGATGTGCTATCACACCAACCATATACTCAGATTATTACTTGTTCCAGTCTATACAAATTTTTTTTAACTGTAAGACATTTACTTGAAATGAAAATGTCAAAAATCACTTGGATCAGTTTTTTGTAAGCAACAATCAAAACTTTTATGAATGTGAAATCATGCTACTACCAGAAACGATAACAACAGGTATTTGACCAAAATGGTTGATATATAATTCAATAAAATATTTATTTATTATAAAAATATTGTGTTTTTTTCCAGAGAAAAAACAAACTTACTTTCCAAACAACCCAATAG